AAACCTAATGCGCATGCGCGGCAATGCTGTGCATGCGCATTAGACCTCAACTTAGGAAAGCATTGAAAAATGCTTTCAGTGCTTTCCTATGGGTATTTCAGCGACGCTGGAGGTCCTCACAAAGCGTCAGGACCTCCAGCGATGCTATAGCACCCGTAAGTGCCCTCTAGTGGCTGTCTAGTAGACAGCCACTAGAGGAGGCGTTAACCCTGTAAGGTAAATATTGCAGTTTATGAAAAATGCAATATTTACAGTTGCAGGGTTAAATCAACAATACGGATGAAAATCAGGTTAAAACCCCTTCCGTGACTTACCTGAATCCAGCGCCGAAGTCCCTCAGCGCTGGGTCAGGCTCCGCCCACGCTCCTACCCAGCCGGCGGGGGAGACCTAATGCGCATATGTGGCATTAGACCTGCTCATAGAAAAACAGTATTCAATGCTTTCCTATAGGGGTTCTGGCGACACTGGAGGTCCTCATCCATAGTGTGAGGACGTCCTCATCCATAGTGTGAGGACGTCCAGCGTCATTTAAAACACTTTTTGGGTTTTAGGAACCTGGAAGTCCCTCTAGTGGCTGTATGATAGACTGCCACTAGAGGAGGTCTTAACCCTGCAAGGTAATTATTGCAGATTATAAACACTGATGGTAGTTGGCACCCAGACCACTCCAATGGGCAGAAGTGGTCTGGGTGCCTGGAGTGTCCCTTTTAATGACAGGTTCGCACAAACCGGTACAAACCGGCTGAATCCACAACTGATTCTGTCTATGAACAGGAATAAAGTGTGTGCATGATTTATCAAGAAGGAGCTTGTGTTTCTCTTGAAGCATCCAGCTATATTGCTGTTTTTCTCTTCTATAGAGTACTTACTTATAGAGAATTGCCAGTGTGCTAGATACATCTAATATCCTTTACGAACTGGAGCTATCAGTGCAGTAGGTAAATCCCTCATTGCCAGTGGATATACAAATCAAAGTTGGTAGTTTGAATAATATCTACCAGCGTTGCAGGATATACATATTGCACTGATAGACCCGGTGCTTAGATATTGGTTAGCTGTGCAGTTTAGCCAAAGAAACCCATGGAAAATAAAGTCCATGAACATCTACACCTTCTGTAGCAGAGACGATAAGGCTGTATTGTCCTATATTTATAGAACAGTGGGTTCTATACTATATCACATTGTGCTATATATAACACACTGTACTGTTTACAGTAAGTGTTAAGAGGATCTTTGCTTTGTATAGACTTCCTGATCATGAGTAATACCCATATCGTGATGAGACACTTATCAGAGCTCACAATATTGACTTATATTGTCCCCTCAACGACTTTGTATTTGAATCCATCCCTTGCCTGTCAGTGTCAGATCTTATCAGACTGTGTAGCCGTGAATAATTCCTATATCGTTATGAGAAATATATCATATTTTACAACACTATCCTTATTGTCCCCTCACAGGCTAATCTGTCCCCTCACAGGCTAATCTCTTGCCTAACACTGTCCGGTCTGATTAGCTTCTCCGCCGGTGAGTAATACTCATATTGTGTTGTGACATTTATCACACTTCACAGTTTTCTCCTCATATGCTTTGCAGTTAATTAATATCTGTTGCAACGTAGTGTGTAGTGTAAGCAGACGTTACACAGCGTGCTGGGGAATCTTTCCTTTTACAATGTGAAAGGGATAGTTTTAGATATGGTTTACATATGGTAATTAGGGTAGTTTTTATATTGTCTACATTTGTCGATTGTTTATTAATCTGAGCAGACGACTAATGACGGCTGTGAAAGATTGTAATAGTTTACCCGAGAATGGTATTCTACATTTATAGGTATGGAGAAGAAGTACGACGAAATCTTCCAATTCCTCTCAGCAGGAGACTACCCATCCGGGTATAATAAGTCGCAGAGACAATGCTTTAGGAAGGCCGCTGCCAAATATACATTGAAGGGTGAGTATCTTCAATATAAGCAGTGTTAGTTGCTTTTGAAGAATGTTGCGCTTGAATTTTTTCCTTTTATTACAGAAGGAAAGGTCTTAGTCGGCAGCAAAAGAGTCATAAAATTGGAAGAAGAAGCGAGAAGGATATTTGAAGAATTTCATTCTGCACCAATTGGAGGACATTCAGGAATTGTCAAGACGCGGTTGGCAATCTCCTCACGATTCTTTTGGCATGGAATGACAAAAGATATTGAGAACTGGGTACACACTAATAATTTTTTTGTTTTGCAATTTTAATGAATGCTTTACACAGGTTAACAACTGATTTCTTACAGATCCAGGAATGTGCAAAGTGTCAGATGGTTGGAAAGCCTCTGTTAGCTCCCCAGCCGTTACAGTGTATTAAGGTAAATGTCTAGTATATAATTACATAAGTTATTATTACATTGGTCTATTACAAATAAATATATATTTATTTTTTCATCGCATTAGGTGTCTGCTGTCTGGGAGTTGGTTGGGATTGACCTGACAGGCCCTTTCCCAAAGACAGTGGATGGTTTCCTGTACATTTTAACGGCCACGGATTATTTCTCCAAGTGGGTAGAGGCTTTTCCTTTGAAGTCAAAAACTGCTTCCGAGGTGGGACGTCATCTTTGTTCCCTGATCTACCGACATGGTTGCCCAAAAAGGATCCTTTCTGACCAGGGGAGAGAATTTGTCAATCAAGTATGTTTACTTTCATGTACAAATGATTTAGTTAACTTTTTTTAAATGAGACATATATACCTGTATGGATTTTTTTTTTTTTATTATTTTTTTTAAGCTTAACGACCGGATGTGCAGCGTTCTAGGAATAGAGAGAAGCGTGACAGCGGCGTATCATCCACAGACAAATGGGCTGGATGAGAAAACAAATGACACTATTAAGAGGTAAGTTTCATTCAACTTTACTTTTCATTCAGGTTTTTATTAGAACTTTGCTCCAAAGGTTTCACTTCAGCTAATGTTATTCTTACATTCCACTTGTTTTGATTAGTGACTACAGCTCTAAATTTCACATTACTTTGTAGTGTTTTGGAAATGGTGTTAATGTTTTTCTTTTTTCTCATTCTAGAGCTCTCTCTAAATTGGTTAATGAAAAGCAGAACAACTGGGACGTGTATTTGGAAGCTACATTATTCGCCATCAGATCAAAGGTCCAATCCACGACCAAATTTTCTCCATTTGTTCTGATGTATGGGAGGGAGGCAGTTTTCCCAGCTGAAGTTCCTGTTGATCTGCCGGTAGCTGTTTTTTATTTATTTATGTCTGTCTGTCATGTCCACCGTGAATTATTTGCCTATATTTCATGGACTAATTGTTTTGTATATACAGATCTCACCTAATTCGAACTACTTGCTTTTTTTCAACATATGTGGCACATTACATTTGAATGTTATTTGTTGATAAACTATAATATGGTAAAGTTTTGCTTTACTGTCTTTAAAGGTAGTGTGCATATACAAATAAACATGTTCTTCTTGTTTCCGTAAGCATTTTAATCTTCATAACTATCAATTTGTTTTTTCAATGAAAACTGTACTACGAAAGAGGATTATAAAAAAATAATTATTTCTATTTAAAAAAAATCATGCTGAATTGTGTTACCATTTAAACAATTTGTTTTCCAGCTTTCAAATATCGTTCTGCCGGGGGAGGTGAATTATGTAACATATATGGAGGAGAGGAAGTCATCGAGGGAGTCGAGAGAAAAAGAAACGCTGGAGAACATTGCCAAGTCGCAAGAAAAGCAGAAGGTAGCGTATGCCAATAGAGTGCAGAAAAAATACAGGGATTTAAACTACAGTGTTGGCGATGAGGTTCTCCTCTACAACATGAGGAAGCGTGGTCGAAAAGGTGGAAGGATTGAACCTGACTTCCTTGGCCCTTATGTCATCAATGAGCTCTGTGGCAATTTAGTTAAATTGGCAAATTATGCCGGCGTTATCCTGAAAAACAAGATTAACATTAATCACATAAAGCCATATAGAAGACATAAAGAAGCAACATGCCCCAGGCACCAAAGTGAAAGGACCTCGGTGATTCAATTTGCCCCGAAGAGACAGGATAGCACTACGGAGGTACAACCAAACTCCCTACCTGAATAGTTTGCATACACATATATTGCATATAGTGTGCTTGTTCTGTATCCTCCGCATATTCTTTCTGTTTGTACAATATTTTTTTTAAATGTAATTGCTTAACTTTAATATTGTTTTTTTTAAGCCTTCTGCATCTTTGAATTTACAGCAGAGCATGGAAGACAGAGGTAGCATTTGCAAAGGTCTTCATTTTCTATTTAGACCCTGTTGGTCATTCAATTGGCCGTGCCCTGTTGGTCTGGCCTTTTCATTCAGTTGGGCATTCTGGCCCTTGTTTATAGTTGCCGCTGTTTGGCATTATGTTCTTGTTTTATTAGCCTTACAAGTTCATATTATACCAAAGAACCTATACAGGTTGAGTGACCCCCTTATCACAAATGCTTTTGAACATAGGTTATTTTGATGTACGAATATTTGCATATATGAGGAGAGCTCATGCAGAATGGCTGCTGTATTTGGAACCAATACTTTAGAATTTGAAGATAAGGCATACTCGACCTGTATTAGCTTTGGGTCCCACTAGTACAATAACTTAAGTGCGGTTTAAGTTTCTTGTTTTTCCCCCCTCCATTTAAAGGGCCGTGGAGTGCTGAAGATGACGACCTGGTGGAAGCCATTGTCGGACAAGTCAAACTATATAAGTCGTCATTCAAAACACTGCATGGGACAGAGTGGCTGGTTGATGAGGTAAGAGTCTGCACTGTAGAAAATGTATAAAAAGCAAAAATCTATAATAAAAAATCGTTTATTTTTCTTTCTCTGTAATGCAGGTGATTGATGCATACCTTCATCACCTGATTGGAAAGCATCAGGCAAGTGTGACTTAGTGTATGCTTGTGTTGTATGTTTGTTGCATTGTTATTCTACATTATTACTCTTAATCTTTTTAAACAGGAACCTATTCACCAGTTCGATGCATTATTTTCTGGAAAATTGGATAGACTTGGAAAGGTTAGTTATTTGTCTCAATAACAGCTATTCATACACGCACACACATTAACAAAAATAAAATAGATTTTCTCACCCTCTCCTAATTATTATGTTTATTCCTCATTCTCGGGTCCTCTACCAAAGGCCTGGGAGTTGAAGGGTTGTGCGCAATATTTTCTCTTCTGGACAGCGATCTCAGATGTCCCACCTGGAATCTGTTAAAGTCACTCCCCTAACTTGGCAGTCACAGCCCGAGTGCTCCTATCACAACTCGGACTACTACTGCCTTCTACTACTACTGTATATATACACACACACATATTATACATAGAGAGAGAGAGAGAGAGATGGATGTGTATTTATAATGTGTCAGTGCTTTGTTAAACACAGATCTACACACACCTGTCAAGCCATAAGACTTGCTTTTCCCACAGAAATCTTAAATTTGCAGTGATATTACAACTGCAGGGGAATCTGGGTAAGCATGTGGTAATGAGTTCAGCAAATAATCACATTGTTGCCTCGTTATGCAATTTTATGTTATATAAAATACAAACAAAATGTCTTCTTTTGATTTCTCTGTATTCTTCAGATGAGGATTCCTGGGGAAGATCTCTGGCTATGCCCTGTTAACTTCGGGGCTCACTGGATTTTAGTGGTATTTACTATAGGACTACGTTAATTAACCTTTCTTTACTTGTGTTATCATGTGCTTTTATAATTCATGTAATTATGTTACATATACAGATATTTACCTACATCCCTCTGATACCTGCTGTATACACCAATAATATAAATGTCATAAAGAAAATTTTGTGTTTTCCCGAATTATCTTTTAGATTGTCATTATGTCGAAGAAGGTTATTGTGCTAATTGACCCACTGGGAAATGAACCTAATTATCTATTGAAAGTACAGCACAACTGGAGGTGAGTGTGGCTTGGGAAAAAGTTTTTTTCACTTAAACTGATGTGCACAACGTTCAATTAAAACTTATGTGTAATTTCTTGTTATTTTTTCATAGTATGTTCTTGAAGAAGTATATTCCTGGAGAAGAAGTAGCCCAATGGAATATCCATGTAATGCATCACAGCAACCAGGAGGATTCCAGCAGCTGTGGAGTTCTGATCTTGATGGTAAACATTCATGTACCATTGTGAAAGCTATTAATCA